GTGATCGGGATGGAAATTTACTCAAATTTTACCAGGGGTTACTTAATTTGAGGCGGAATAAATTCATTTCTAAGATGGTGTCCGAGTTTGAATGAGATAAAGCACATGGTGTGCGAGTTCGTCGGTGTTTGGTCAATACCTTCCGCCAAATAATTCTCAAAACTTTCTTGACCATAAGACCCCGTATAGTGACCTTGTGGATTATTCTTTTATTTTCCAACGCAAACTGGCCATACATTAGTTATTCTTTATCAGTACTGTCGCACTGTCTCGAAAGCCTGCGTGCAGTGCATTGGTGTGCAGAAAAGAGAGTGTTATGTCATATAAAAGGCACACAAGACCATAAAATTAAGGATGACAGACCTGCGAACCATGGTGTAGTTTCAAGGGCGTACTGCAATGCAAATTTGGGTTATGAAACAAACCCGTCATTTAGCTTCTGGTGTATTGAAACTTCTTAGCGATGTTCCAGTTGTACATGGAAGCAAAATTCATTCCTTTTAGTGGCATTGAATCGGCAGAGGCTGAAAATATGGCACCTGCCTTGGCCACGCAAGAGATGCTTTGGCTTCGGTGTCTATTTGAAGAGCTTAGACTCCATATTATACGGTGCAATAAAGACCACGATGTATGACATGTAGGCAATAGTATGGCGACAAGATGAGGTTTTACGTCTCGTGAAAAACTCATTGATATGCGGGCTCATTTTGTTCTTAATATATAAGGAACTGAAGCACAGGTCTCGAGCACGTACCGTCCGAAGATAAAATAGCGGACTTACTGACCAAGGATGATCCGATACCGCGCTTTACTCAGCTAAGCGAGCTCGGTATCGTTGTTTTGTACTACGCATGAGGAAAAGTTTAACAATGTTGTGTTGCGTACTACATTTTGCTACGTCTTTTTTTAAATATGTGCGTTGTTCCAATGCCAGTTCAATTGACGGACGTCAAAGTTATCACGAATGGTTGACACACTAATGTTGCAGTTGTGTGATCTTCTAGGTACGTAGTTCTGGAAGCTAGTATACATATACATGTCTGCTGTTGCAGAGCAAGTAGGTGAGACCGACAGAGAAGGTCAATTGTTAATTCACTTTTCATTTTGTGCTGCAGAAGACACGTGTTCTTTAGTGTTATAAAATGTGCTTTAAATAGTATTCGAGGTTGGAAGCGTATTTTAATCGGCTGTGATATTTTGGAAAAAATGCTTGGTTATGGTTACGATAGCTATTCTACTATAACTTTATAGGAAATTGTGGTATGCTTGTTCAACTAAAAATGTGTACTAGTGAATATGATAGTGCATGTGTACTGTGGATTATACCGTAATTGCTGCTAGCACCCTCAAGGCTTTGTCTGAGCCACAAGGATTCTTGTCGAAGATGAGTAAAATACGGGAACTCTAGGCATCGAAACCTTCACTTCCATTTTTTTAGTCGTCATGCTTGTAATTGTTTTTATTAATTTCCAGAATCTAAATTTCAATGCTTTTTCGAGCCCCAAAAATTGTCTTTGTAGTATACTTGAATCACAATGCTCGCCACAAGCTAATTATTAATAGCTGTCGGTCGAATTAGACCAGTATACAGGAACAGACGATACCTCGCAACATTTCTTTAGCAAGTCGATTTGGCCTTAAAAATCACTCCGTAAACTTTGTCGAAGTTACACAGCTTGATGAACTCATTTGGATGGTCTGGTGAGGATGATGTTGCTGCCGGTCAGTTGCGGTCTGCTCTCGCGCTATGCCTGAGATGATGACCGTTTTCATATGTTTATAAACAACAAGGTATCTCGAACGTGATTTATCCGAGACGAGTAGTGTCGAGTTGAAGCTGGATTAAAATGAAGCCAAAAAAATCAGAGAACTAACGGTGTACTATCGACCTTGCATCCGCGCCGGATTCTGTAGGTTTTTACCTGCAGAGCCTCTTTTTTGTACAAAAAGTACCCGCTAGTTAATTTTGACGCAATTATGAAGTGATCGCGGATCCTCTGCAAAGTGATGTTGACACGCGCAGATACTAAATCTACGTGTATACCGTGCAATAGCTGAACTTTCTATAAAAGCTGACCCAAGTCTTTAAGCACGCCGAGGGTTATTTGCTTGGTAAGGGTGATGACAAGAATCGGCTTTTGTGGATGTCAATATACATACGCGAAGCATTTATGACAGAGCCAATATGACACCGATGCGAGAACAGGCATGGGACAAACCTAAAAAATACATCCAGGTGATTTGTGTTTCTTGTGTTGGACCGACATAGAACGCAAGCAGTAAAGGATCTTGCTGATATTGTGCCCAGAGATCCAAAGTTAACGTATATTATTTGCCCTACCGTTTGTGGCTCTGTTTGAGGCTTGATAGCAGCCAGCTGCCCGTCACAAGAGAGTGAGTTATCATCCACCGACAGTTGATCATTCCTCTATAAAATAGATTTTCAAAATAGCGACGCACAAGCCAATTTCACAACAATAGAACCTACAGGACACAAAACATGTCGCTTGAGGCTTCTCCATCGATCCTGGATTGATTCTAACGCAGCATGTGCGCTTTTAGCACGCGAAGCTGTAAACATGACCAAAAAGTGAACTTTTGTAAGGATATTACAATCATAAAATGACTACTGCACGTCAACCATGCGTCCACTTATGAAAGAAAGCTTGTACTCGTAAGTTGCTGTGGTCTATATGACGACAGGAATAAATTGATGCTAAATTTTCCTTGATCGTCTCCAAGATTTCTAGGGATTACAGTTGTTTTGCTAAAATGCTTTTTTTAAAATTATTAATCGACAAACATGGCCTTCGTAAATAATACGTAGAGAGCATTCATGAGAGCAACTTCAAGGTCTGTTACATACTTGATTGCAATCATAGACAAGGCCAAAATCAGTGACTACAAGCCACATCCTTACAGATAGGTTTCATGGCTCTCCGCACTCATTTAAAAAAGATCTGCTCAGTTGATGTCACACCAACCATGTGCAGCACCGGAAGTCAAAAGCAGATGGTATCTGTAAATTGCGTCGAAAACTCAAAACTTGCCAGCTCAAATTTTGCAAATCGCTTCTGCCCAAGGTTGTATCATCAAGATGCGCGTAAGTGTCGTTGCTCGATGAGTTTTGTCGAAAAGGGAAACGTGGCATTAGCCGGTTTATAGAACGATTCAGATAAGCAAAAAGTGGTAGGCTTTCATTCGGAAGTCGTTTAATTTCAGTTGGCAAATGTGGTACGGATCGTGGGGATTTTCCGTGCGGCTATTACGCGCAGCATTGCGATTATTCGAGAGGCTCAATGACAGCGCGACACGAATTTATGATTCCACTTGTTCTTGAGTGGCAATGGTGTGACTTATGGAATGCATCAACAAATTGACATGAAGTGTCGTGATTGCACTGCTAGCCATTTGAAGTCGCCACCCTTCGTCAAAGCATTTTTTATAATTACAGGCGTCGGTGAACATCGCCAATACGACATCATGGACCCAAAAATTCCTCTTGGTGCCTCAAATAAGCACTGCCATTTTAATTAGTTGGTTACCGGTTCGATGCCCCGCACGACCAACCCAATGTTAGTAAAAACTGTGATACGTGAGTCTCAGTGGTACCCCTCAAGGATCCTTGTACCACTGAGCTCGGCTTCTCGTAGAAGCATGAATCCCAACATCGAATAGTCGGGGGCCGCGGAGTGGCTGGCCCTTAGAGATTCACCTACAAAGTGGCCATCCGGTTGGAAATGTGTAGGCCCCGGCCGAAGGGGCATCCTCGGGATGTGGGTTCCACTAAATGACGTAATGCACCGCATAAAAAAGGGGACATCATGGGCCTAGACTTGCGCGGACACATTTGCGATTTTGTCCTAACGAACGGGCTGGTCTCGTTTTAGTTTATTGCACAAGAATCAAGCGCTAAAGTGAGCATTCGAAGTTAATTCAGCTATTTACTAGCGTGGGATAAGACTTTCTGAGATGCAATGGACCATACCTTGGACTCATGCCGCAATCCATATAATAAATACGAAAAACGCCTTAGTTCCATACATCTGCTCGTCCTTTCCGTTTTCTTTTCGAAGCAAAATGCTCTGTGGAAGCACTTTTCTTGCGTCGCTGCATAGCAAATGATGAAGAAAGCTCCATTTCAAACGTGACAGTATCATGGCTAATTATCGGATGCGGTGGTGTTCCCAGGTAGCTGATATCCGTTGGGCGTGAACTCAATGAAGAGCCGTCGATTGTGTTCAACAAAGTGTCCATTCCTATGAAAACGTCGGCATTTTGACTAAAATGTACGCAACTCAAATTCGCGTTATCAACTTCCTTCGATCTTGAGCCAAACGGCTTCTTTAAGACTTGGTGTGGTAAAAGTCGCTGGTCGCAGATGTTGCTCTAAAGGCTTAGATCCTGCAATGAAAAATGTTCATTGATGTTTGCAGGAACGTTCGCACCATAAAAATTTCAAAATCTTCCGTAGAAACATTTGCGAATACAATTGCACATGAAAACGGCAAAGTGTACTTACTTTGCACTAGATCATGGTCAAGTTGAAGTCAATCGTTCATATTGTCGTATTGTATTGTCGAGCCCGTTTGATTGTGTTAGCCTTCCCTTACAACGTCTACAAACGGGTTTAACCGAGTCAAGCTACTGCTTCTTTCCACTCGAAGCGCATTTGAGAATTCTTGTGTTGAAGCACAGAGCAAAGATCTACTGACGAGGCGACTCAAAAGATAATGACGACGGCTAGAGGGACCTCTGGTATTAATGGGTACCGTGGAAGCTGGAGGGGACGAGGAAGTGGCAACACTGGCCATCGGAACCACGGAAGTGGTCCAGGACGAGGAAGAGGCGGCGGACGTGGAGGCCGGTCAAGTGGGGGCAGGGCCTATGGTCGGTCGACTCCGACTACCCGCAACCAAAAGCTTTTGTCCACCAACCCATCGACTCTGCAGTTTATACGGTCGGTGCTGAGGAGCTGCCCGAATCATAGACTCAGAGAGATGCTCGAGCAGCTGGAGAAGCCGTGGCTGAGTTGCTGGCAAGAGGTTGACCGTCTCCCCTTGGATGCTCTTCAGACGCTCTTGTCGGCGTTAGCACGTCTGCCGTTTTCGGTGGCATCAATCGCACGTGCTTCACTTCCTGCAATCAGCAAAGCAGTGAGTGCGCTACTCACTCAAGCGACGCAGGCTGACGAGACTGCATTGGATGGGAACGACGATACGCTTGAAAGCGCAGTGCTAGTAGAACGAGTTGTGACGAGACTATTAAAGGCAACGTGGGACTTAAAGCGAGAGGATGTAAAAGACGCACTAGACGAGATGGTTGCTCTAGCAGATGCGAGTCTGAATATTCGACTGAAAACGTATCGACCCGTGCGAAGTCGGTTGGCGGCGTTACTAAGTGAGATGGAGAAGCCGTGGAGCATTAAAGTAAAAGATTGCGACAATGGAGCCGCTGACGAAAGGCTCGCGTTGATTGATTGGCGGCACCCAACGGTGGCGTGGCTGGCTGACTACAAGATTTTTCAGCCGGCGTTGCTGCCAAAGCTGCAGCTTGCTCGAATGAATGGAGGCAGAGTGTACGAAAGCAAAGATGAATACTTTGCGACGATTGTGCAGTTATGGATCGGAATGACGTTTTTGGAAGGCAACAACGCCTTGTTGCCACACTGCACGGTAAAGATGGGGGACAAGGTGTGTGACCAACCGCTGTGGCCATTATCAGGCAAGAATAATGCTATGAATTGTAGAAACTCGCATTGTGATCGATATGCAACCTTCTTGTGTGCACACAGCCAGCACGTCAAAGGCTACTGCAGTAAGTGTGCTGGCGAGTACCAGCAGAGATTGCGGGGACCACCGTCCAAACATGCGTCGACACACATTTATGACGGGTTTATTGCGCGGGTCAAATATGACGGCACCATTTTGGTCGAGCAAGTGGCATCACGACGACCGCCGTTGAGTCCGATCCACTGGAAGACAACTAGGCGCTTATCAAGTCCTAATCTGGTAGGCATTCTGAGACTTTCCAACCGTGAAGCATCGTTGCGGAACTCGGACGATATTTTTTGGGGAGAGATTGGTTTTCAAGGCAAAAGTTTCGACGAGTATAAAGCTCGAGAGAATGGATGCTTGACGTTGCGTCTACTTCAGTACCTGGAGGAACCAGGAAATGCCATGCTGACACATAATCCGACTGCAGGAGAAGCAATCGCGATCATTGATTGCCAGACGTTTGTGCCGGAATTTGTTCCAGTGTTGAAGGCGCTAGAGAAGCAACGCCAAATGCCCATGCCATTCCAAGATGGTGCGCTTCTTAATTTGTGCGAGCAAGTGAACTTCCGCCACGAACACGTGACGGGCGTTGATGACAACAGTGGTGATGAATGTATCGAGTCTGGTGCGGGTAAAGCCTTACCTGACACAAGAGGATTGATTCGAGAAGTGATCTGTGCATCAATACTCGACCCTATCATTGATATTCGTCGGGATGAGGCACTACGAGGTCGTCTAGAAACCTCACTAGTTCAGCTGGTAAACAGTGCGACGCTCGACCCTGGTCAGCTGAAGAGCTTTGCCGAGGCTCTAACGTACCCCGTGCATTGTACGCAAGGGCCACCTGGAACAGGGAAGTCATACTTGGGTGTCGTTGTTGTCCGCGCGTTGCTAATTGTCCGAGATCTGTGGAAGTTAAAGAACGGCGAAGTCGGCGATCCCCCGGTCCTGGTGTTGTCGTACAAGAACCACGCGATTGACGAGTTCCTATTGGAATTGCTTCACTCCAATCCTACTCTAAACCACGTCTCGACGAACACTGGCTTCAGAAACTATTATCGGGGTAGCGGTTTCAAAAAACTTGTGCGCATTGGAGGAGGCTGCAGTGAGCCAGAGCTGGAGCAGTATCGAGAGCGTAACGTTGCTTGTTCTGACCCGTGTGTGCAGGCTGTCTCGGAGCGCATCGAAGATTGCCAGGTATTTCGCGAGACATGGATCAAGTTTCGTGACTGCTTCACTCCAATTTTCGCGGCTCATGCTACTCGTGTAGGCAGTGCTAAATTGCTGAGCCCTGAGGAGCAAAAGGTTGTACAAAACGCTGTCCCTCCAGCATCGTTGGCTGTAGCCACACTTTTGCAGGTGAACAAAAGCATACACACAGTTGATAAGACGATCGACAAGACTGAGCGAGTAAATAATGAGAATGGGGACGAGATGAAGTACGACGTCGGAGATATTGTCGCGAGTCTTGAACAGCAATGCCCCGTTGCTTCACCTTTCGAGCTGGCAAGAAGCATACTTGAGAAAAAAGCGATGCTGAAAAATGAGGATTTTGCGCGCTTGTACGAAGGTGTAAAGCACTACGATCTTGACATCAATCCTCAGGAAGTATTGTACCAGTGGATTATTGGCTTCCGCCCACGACCAGTGTGCATGTACACTACTACACCATGCTACCAAGTGTGCGCCAACAAAAGCCGCTTTTGTCAAGAGCATTCTTGCAAGTTTACACGAGACGACGAACACTTTTGCAACGAGATTGTGGCTTCAGATAGAATCTACTGCAACAAGCACTTGTGCTCAGCTGATCAGTGTCAGAATTGCAGAATCTCCGAAACTCAAAAGTTTTGTGATGACCACGCATGCTTCGTGTGCTTAGTTCGAAGTGAGGTGGCAGACGTTGCGTTGGAAGAGCCGCCTCGGAATTCGTGTGAGCGTCACCCACTTTGCTGGGGGCTGGACGGCATGTGCCCTGAAGTGGCGGAGTCTAACAATTCTTTCTGCAAAATCCATACCGAGGATTTATACTGCAAGTGGGTAACCAAATCCGGCAAAACTTGTCGCGCTATTGCGTCGGCAGGGCAGTATTGTGGTACGCATTACTCGGAAGCGACACGTATGGCAGCTCGAACGGCTAAGACGAGCTCTGAAACTTGTCAGGCGCACACCAGAAAAGGCAAAGCATGCAAAGGAAAGGCGTTGTCGGACTCGAGTTATTGTCGAGATCATGTTGGCCGTACTAACCAGTTTACATCAAAGGGATCTGAACTACTAAAGCTTGATGCGGAAGATAGTCAAGACATGAATGATGCGAAGCGGTACGATGAGGCTGTTTCGGCTTGGAAGACTGTAAAATTCGGCGAACACTCGGCAACGACACCAATTGAAAACGACCAGGTGTCACAGTCTTCTAAGATTGAAGAGCCGACCGTGAAAATTGCTGGAGCTGGCGAAATGGAAGTAGAGGAGCTTTACAGCTCAGGAAGTGATGTGGAGGATTTTGTAGACGCTATGCAATATGACAATAAGGACGAGGTAGAAGAGTCGGAGCATCTGCGACATCTGAGAGATGTTCCAGAGGTCCCGAATGATAAAGGAGAGGACGCTGTACAGTATGACAATGGAGATGAGGTTGAAGAGTCGGAGCATCTACAACATCTGAGAGATGTTTTAGAGGTCAAGGACGATGAAGAAGAAGACGCCATTTCAATTGTTGAAGAGATTGAAGAAAAGACTACTTGGGTTGTGTCAGAGCAGCAATTGCTTCTCCCTAGCGAATGGCACTGGGATATGGAGTTGGAAGAACGATGGAACGCACTTTACTCGGTGTTGGCTTTATGGGGCCCTCTGAACGGGTGCGTGCAAGATGCTGTTACAAAAGAACTCAATGGTTTGAAAGTTGAGTTGCACCGTGAAATTCTTCGGGCAAACTCGCGCGTGTACGAAGGCAAAGCTGTAATTGGGGGTACAATCACCGGCTGCGTGTCAAGATTGGAGGCGATCCGGACCACCAATCCTTTTGCCATACTAGTAGAGGAGGCTTCAGAAGTCATGGAACCGCTGCTTGTTTCGTGTTTCGGCACGTCAACACGAAAACTAGAGATGATCGGCGACCATATGCAACTGCAGCCGTCAGTAATGGGTCGGATCGACTTCGAGCGAGTCAACAAAATCACCATCTCGATGTTTGAGCGATTAATCAGTGCCCCGCCGAGCAACAAAGTCCCATCTTCGGTATTGTCGATCCAGCGTCGAATGCGCAAAAATATCTGCGATCTCACTCGGAACTTTTACAGAGAGATCACGGTGATTGAAGACCATGAAGTCTGTGGAAAGAAAGTGATTGGAAGTCAGGTAAATAAGAGTCCTTCTCTCCTCGATGCGTGTGAAGGAGGAGGACGTGAGGTTCCAGGAGTGTCACCGCACATTTACTTCTGGACCCATTCTGGTGCTCAAAGGCGAGCATCAGTCGGTTTGTCTCGAGTAAACCAGCAGGAAGCAAATATGACGTGCAAGCTGGTGCATTATTTAGTGCATTGTGGTGTATCTCCTAAATCTATCGCTGTGCTGACTCCGTACAAAGGACAACTGATGCTCATGAGGAATATGCTCATGAATAATTATCGACTTCGAATGATGCCTGCCGGACGCGACGCACGGCCAATTCCATCCTGTGTTGTATCGACTGTAGACCGTTTCCAAGGCGACGAGGCTGATATTGTCATTATATCTCTTGTGATTGATGGCAAGTCTCGCACTCCTTTTGTAAAGCTTCAGAATCGTATGATTGTACTGCTGAGTCGTGCACGGCTGGGCATGTATGTCGTAGGTAATGTCGACTACTTTGATGAAACGACACATTGGCAAAAGACATTGGGGCTTCTACGAAAAGATGCAGGATCTGATAATGTTCCGCCAACCGAGTGTACGATGTACATCGGATCTCGCATCGGCAGCTCGCTACCAATTTGCTGCCCTCAGCATCGAACATCGGTGGCTTTTGCAGCAAATGAGCGGGACCTTAAGCTCGGGTTTTGCTTGGTGGTTTGTTCAATAAAACTATCGTGCTCTCACCGTTGCGGGCTAAAGTGTCACTGGCCGAAAGTGAACGATCACAATAGCAAGTGTCATGTCGAGGTGGAGTCGCCATGTAGCCTTCATCCACGCATTGTCGTGGGCTCCGTGATAACAGCTTTCGCTCGAGGCAAGTCCATCGACGAAGCATTACCGAAGTTCCAATGCGACATTCAAGTGGAGGTAAGCTTACCCTGCGGCCACATTTATAAGATGAGCTGTTACATGCACCAAAACATCGTAGCAGGACAAGCACCGTGGCCTGTTTGCAGTAAAGCAGCAATTGCGCCGTATGTTTACCCGGTATGCAAACATATTCTGGAGTGCACATGCAGCGAGTTTGATCGTTATTCGAAAGGAAAAGCACCGCCGTGCACTGAGCTGGTCAAGTTTGCACCACCATGTCAGCACACAGTGCAACTGTCATGTCATGATCGACAAGACTACGCCGATGGAGTGCGTCCGTTTGTATGCAAGGAGAAAGTTCAAGTATCATTGCCACGGTGTCGCCACAAGTTGGTTGTGCCTTGCTCGACAGCCGAGACGCTAAACCAGTGGACCGGCAAGTCGTGCTTGACACTTAACTGCGTCCAAGAAGGCGAAGAGTATGGCTCAAAAGACTATTTTTGCAAGCAAAAGGTGACGTTTCAACGCCGCTGTGGCCACTCTGAATTGGTTAGGTGCGAGCGTGCGTTTGAGCTCGTACAAATTCCTTCTTGCTGCCGGGAGCCTATTGTGGTAGCAAATCCGGAGTGCGGTCACGAACTTTCAACCACTTGCTCTGAGGAAAAGAGCTTTCGAGTGAAAATTGCTCAAAACTTCGCAGCAACAGGAGACGTTTCTCCGCTCGAAACTGTGCATGAAGGTGACTCCAGCAATTTTCGCAGCTACGGGCTGAATTTCCAGTGCAGTCATGAGACATTGTATGTCCGTCTCTGCGGCCATGAGAAAACTATGAAGTGCAGCGAGGCGCGGCACAACACGAGACGGTGCGACGAATTGGTGACAGCGAAGTTACCAACTTGTGGGCACCTAGTGAAGTTAATGTGTCATTTGATGAAATATCTGAGTGCGTGGCAGCCGTGGGAGGCACAAACACCACTTGTCAAACAGTTACACGATGAAAGCATTGTTAACGATACACTCTCAGCTCCAGGGGCACGCCCGGTAGCACTAAAAACCGTTTTGAAGGATTGTGAAGCCGCTGTGCGCTTTCGTCGGACCACCGCATGCGGCCACGATATTGAGATGAAATGCTGCGATGCATTAAAAATTGTGAGTGGAAATCAATCCCCTTCTCCGTGTCGTGTGCACGTTACGCGAGCGATGAAGTGCGGGCACGAAGTCCTGATCAAGTGCTCTGATGATGTGAACAATGTCAACTGTCAAGAGTCTGTCGAAAAATCTTGCTGGAATTATGACAGTTGTGGTAGTAAGGTCATGGTGCCTTGCAAAGCGTTCGCAACTACTGTTCGATGCACGGCTCAGACGGAATGGATTTGCTCTAAAGGGCATTCTTTTCTGCTACAATTGTGTTGCAAAGGGACTCCGTCCGATTGCCCGCTTTGTTCATCAATGCTGTTGGAGAGTGCGATTCAAGATACGCAGCGAATGCTGAGCAACAAAACTTGGTCACCAACAACCACTCAGTTCTTGCCACATGTGGGCGGTGTGACTTATATTGAAATGAGCCCTGCAAGTAAACACGACTTTCTAGTTCGGAAAATCAAACTGCTTAGAAGGTTCAAGGAAGGCTTAAGTGATAGTTCTGTGTGGACGAATCCCCTCTTTTCTCCAGTGGAATTTCCAGTGTTTGCAGTGTTAGGCCGCAAATTGCAAGCACTTCGTATCGACAAATTCGAGATGAAAGACTTTGGAAGTATGAACACGTTCAGTGGGATTGAAGTTTACGAAGCAACCAAGACAAATTTTGAGCGAATTTTAAGGAGCGGGAATCGCTGCTTGTTATTTGGCAGCGTTTACACGGTCAAAAGTTTGAGGAACACTTCAGACATTCCCAAGAAAAATAATAGAAAAGGCGGTAGCGTTGCAAAATGGGCGGCTAGACAGTCGACGCAGGGGTTTGACGCGTTATGTCAGGACACGAGGGGTTGGATTATATGGAAGCCTTACGCCTTATATCCGGTGTGTCGGGTGGATATATGTGACAGCAATCGGGTCAGCATCTTGAACTCTTTGCCTACAGAAAGCCAACCGGTTGAGTCGAATCGTAAGATAAGCTTTAGAAAGGCCTCGGAAGGAGAGGAAGTGGAGGAATGTAAACCTGATGATACCATGCAGAGGCCTTCGGTCATATCCGAACTTGAACTTGAGAAGATACGATTGTTAGCAAGTTCAATAAGTCCATTGTACGAACAGCTGGACATTTGGTATCCCTGGAACGGTAAATCGTTGTCAACAGGAGCGGCCGTCGCGATTCCCGCACAAACGGAGAAGACCCTTGCTTCCAAGCTGAATTTCATCCCAAGACCTTTTTGTGATACGACGGGGAACCGATTGAAGATCCCGTTTGGTGGGATAAAGTACGTGGAAACATTAATGAGCAACGGGAAACTCAAAGAATACGGGAATTTGTTTCTAGCGTTGGAGCATCTTGCCGTACGGAAGCAGGACACGTTGGAAGTACGTTCGAAACTGGAACAGTATGTGAACCAGGTTTGTATCGAGGAAGAGTGCTACGCGCACCCCCTCGTCGTTGTTGCCATCGCACGACTCGCATCCCGCTTGAGTCAATCCGATTCATCGGATGTTCAGCGAAGACTCCTTCATATTTTTGCGTCGCTGTATCCTGAAGCAAGCGAGTTATGGCTAGATGAATCCGAGATTCGGCTGGCACAGACCACCAGTGGACAATTCGGTTCAGTTGACTCTATTAAGTCTGGCTCTCTGACATCGGTGGATGAAAGATGGGAGACTCTGAAGAGTCAGTACGGATGTCGCTCGGACGCAATGGAGGAGCTACTCAAAATGGTGGGGCTGAAGAAGGTTAAACAAGCAGCAGTTAATCTCTTCAAGAATGCGATGACACTGCAGCAGTTGTCCTCGGCCCAGCGAAAGAAAAATGTAATGTCCTTTAACTATTGCTTTGTAGGTAACCCTGGCACGGGCAAAACCACAGTCGCGCGTCTGTTTGCTAATGTCCTGAAAGACTCGAAGATACGGCGGACTAATACCTTCGTTGAGTGTACTGCTCAGAAGGTGAAGGACGACGGGGCGGCTGAGTTTCGACTAAAATTGCAGCAGGCGTCTGGTGGTGTTGTATTTATCGATGAAGCGTACGAGTTGGACCCCGCTGGTGATTTCAAGGGTAAACCAATTGTGGCAGAGTTGTTGACGGCAGCCGAAGACAAGCGGGGAGACCTCTCGATTATCCTCGCTGGCTATGAAGATGACATTCAGAAGAAGCTTTATGCATACAACGATGGTCTGCCCTCACGTTTTCAAGAAGTTGTATTTGAGGACTTTGACGCGCAAGAGTTAGAGGTCGTGTGGGATGGACTGGCGAAAGACCGTGGGTGGGAATACGAGGAGGCAACTGTAAAAGTGGCGTGCCGTCGCCTGGCCAAAGCGAAAGGTCATAAGGGGTTTGGTAACGCGCGTGCTGTACGCAAGCTATTTGAGCAAGCTATGAAGGAGGCTATGGCTCGGGAGGATTTTGATGGTGATCTCAAATTCGATACAGTGGACTTGCTCGGAGACCGCCCTTCAACAAACACAAAGCTTCAGGATGTGCTAAACGAAGTTAACGAAAGGACTGGATGGCACAAGGTTAAAGAAGAATTGAGAAAGCTTGTTCAAATCAGTGACACGAACTATGAGCGCGAGCTGAAGGGTTTGGAAACCATTCCTGTGAGCTTAAATCGACTGTTTTTAGGGAATCCTGGAACAGGCAAGACTACATGTGCCGAGTACTTCGGGCGGGTGCTTAAGGCACTTCATTTCTTGAGCAATGGCGCAGTCGTGAAAAAGGCGGCGGGAGATTTCATTGGCAGCCATGTCGGTGAATCACAAACAAAGACAGCGCAGATCCTGGACATGGCAAAGGGTAAAGTTCTCGTTATTGATGAAGCGTACAACTTAAATGACAACAAGTTTGGCAAGCAAGTGCTGGATGTTCTAGTGGAGAAGGTTCAGGGTACGGAATGTGATGACTTAGCTGTTCTGCTGATAGGATACGAGCGGAAAATGCTCGAAATGCTGCGCACGCAGAATCCAGGACTAAGGCGGCGGTTTCCGCCTGAGCATGCCTTCCATTTTGAGGATTACACGGAGCACGAACTACTTGATATTTTGGAATTCAATTGTGCTAAACGAAGTGTGACGTGTTCGTATGAAGTGGCTGATGCAATGCTCAAGCAATTGGCGCTGCAAAGGACTCAACCAAATTTTGGAAACGCTGGCGCTGTGGAGCAGCTGCTGAAACAGGCGTTAGGCAGAGCAATGAATCGTCCGATGGTACACGACAAGACCTTATTAACGCTGGAGGATGTGGGTGTCAAAGTAGAATCGAGCGAGCAAGATGATCCATTGAACGTGCTCAATGCGTTGTATCGTATGGATAATATTAAGGAGCAGTTAACCCAGCTAAAAAATGAAATAATCGTCGCGGACCACGAAGGATCAGGACTCCCAGAAGTCGGTCACTTTGTCTTCCGTGGGTCGCCGGGAACAGGTAAAACTACTGTCGCTCGCGCGATGGCAAAGATTCTGCATGGATTGGGGGTACTGGCAACGACGAAAATGGTAGAAACTTCTGGGCTTGACCTCACCGCTGAGTACGTTGGTCAAACGAAGCAGAAAGTCACTGCGAAACTTGGTGAAGCGAAGGGTGGACTGCTGTTCATTGATGAGGCCTACGAATTGGGAAAGGGGACTTTTGCTGAGGAAGCGATGACCACACTCGTGGCTGCCATGACGGACCCTTCGTACGTGGGTATGGTGATTATCATTGCCGGCTACTCAAAGGATATGGATCAAATGCTAAGTCGAAATGTTGGCCTGAAGAGCCGTTTCAGGCGCTTTGTTGACTTTTCAGATTGGGAAGCGGAGGATGCAGTTGAATTCTTGACTGCAAAGGCAGAGGCTGAGAATTTTGAGGTGGAAGATGATGCCGTGGTATGGCTACAGAAAACGTTTGAGGAACTAAAGAAGCTGAGTAACTTTGGCAATGGCCGAGACGCCATGGCCATGTGGAAAGAGATTCTCCAACATCGTGCACAGAGAGTGGTAAAAGAGCCTGAAGAAGAGCGAACCATCACAAGTTGTGACGTCGAAAAGGCAAGTGAAGCTATGATGGTTGCTCGTCGAGGCTGTGCCGTGCCTCACAAAGGAACTGCGGCCATGAAAGATCCGATGAAGCTGCTCGATGGTTTGTATCGTATGAGCAAGATCGAAGACCAACTTCTACGCCTACAGAAGCAGATAGCCGTTGCTGATCGTGAAGGTTCAGCACGTCCTGAGATCGGCCATTTCGTTTTTCGAGGCTCTCCAGGTACTGGGAAAACGACCGTAGCTCGTGTAATGGCTCAAATACTCCATGCTATGAGTGCATTGTGTACAACAAAGCTTGTTGAAACGTCGGGGTTGGAACTTACGGGGGAATACGTCGGCCAAACAAAGACCAAAGTGACGGAGAAACTTGTCGAAGCAAAGGGTGGGCTGCTATTTATTGATGAGGCGTACGAGCTGGGCAAAGGAAAATATGGAGAAGAGGCTATGACGATGCTGGTGGCTGCCATGACAGACCCGTCGTATGCTGGTATGGTAATTGTGATTGCAGGATACCCAAAAGACATGGATATCATGCTAGATCGCAACGCCGGTCTCAAAAGCCGATTCAAACGATTTATCGACTTTCCAGACTGGGAAGCTGAAGACGGAGTCTCGTTTTTACGAATGAAGGCGTTGAAAGAGGGTATCATGCTGGAGCCTGGCGCCGCGTTAGTGATGCAGCGCATGTTTGTCAAGCTAAAGAAGTTGCCCGGCTTTGGTAATGGACGCGATGCTGTTGGAATATGGGAGGAGCTTAAGCAGTGCCGGGCCCAAAGAGTGTTTAATTCGCCTGAAGACGTGCGCACGATCACCGCCGTGGACGCGGCTTTAGCAGGCGAGAGCATCCTGGCAGCTCGTCGTCCACCTGATGGGTCGATACTTTCACAGTCGTCTATTTCTGGCCCCGATGATGGACTGGGTAGACCCAGAGAGCAGGAGGCAGAGATAGTCGAGTCGTTATGTGAGCAATTTGGAGAGCAAGAGTCTGAAACACGATTGCAGGAAGCAGAGGCTGAAGAGACTGAAGTATCTGAAGGTGACCTGCAGGTCGTGGAGGTGGAAGCTGAACAGGACGAAGAACCAAGTACAGACGAGGATATTGCAAATGAGGAGCGAGACGACGGAGTGCCGGACGAAGATTGGGAAGAGCTACAGCGCGCAAAGCAGGACTATGCTGCTCATTTGGATGCCCTCAGACGAGCCCGTGATCAAGCAAAGATTGAGGAAGAGAAACGCAAAGCCGAAGCGATTCAAGAAAAAATCCGCCAAATCTGTCTGTGCCCCGCTGGTTACACTTGGTACAAGTGCGGTGGCGGATTGAGCCGATGGGTTTCAAAAAGTCTGCAGTGGCTCTGTAAAGGTAGATGGATCTCCTTATCCGATAAAGTATGGCATAAAAGTGACCTGTGCCGAACAACTACAGCATAGCGGTGACGCTTTGGAATACGTTTGGTGAACCTCACCAAGCGCATTCAGACATCTTATCAGCCCGAGGAAAAACTTAATCTGCCGTCCAGCTCCGGGTGGAAGCTGAAAATAGTAATTGGGTAATATTCTGATGAATTTTTCAACGGACGAAAACATCGGAATGCGATATATTGAGGCACAACGCAAATTGTAAATGCAATGTCCGTTGCGTCACTGATATCATAGTAGGAAGGATATACATGCATTCCTTACATTGCCAGTTGCGGAAAATATAGACCATACCCTGCCACGCTAGACAGTAGCAAAGAAAGCGCAAGCTCTGATATCGCGCGTTTAAAAGTCGTGTAGTCTTGTCAAGGCACACGTTCTTCGCACCCACGCGGTAAGCATGCTATGGATCCATTTACACTGCCAAGCCTATATCTGGTCGAGCAAAATGTGCAGCTGCAGTCAGAAGATGTGAGGAATAAATGCGTCTGACACTGCACAAATAATTTCTCGAGGCATCTGTATGTTATAGTCGGGATCCTCCAAAGCGTTCTACCAAATCGTGCACTTTAACAAGGGCTACAAAATGCTCACCATCAGCTATCTTGCGCCACCAAGACGTATAACTCTCTAACAGACTCTCAGTCGCGGAGACATTCGTTAGAAATACAAGCTGTGGCTTTTTCCTTCGCCTGAATCATGCTTAAATATTCTGCAGCTTGGCGACCCGGTTGCACTCATCGTCTCGTGCGCTGTTGCCTTAGTTCCTTGCGGAGGTCTCACTCTGTCCATATCGCTCACGGGTCGATCGGCAGCTATATATTATTTGGACAGGCTGTAACTTTGTCTTGACTTCATTCAAAGATAAAGATGGTACATTCAAAGTCCAGCACATCAAACCAGCCCGGAACCCTGGGTAAGTTATGTCTTACGCACGAGGGCTGCATCAAATAACCATCAGTGAGCGATACCGTTATGGAGGATTCAAAGATATGCATTTCCGCATTATCGGTGAAAGAGTCACCAGTCCTGCGCCGCTCTTTATCCACACAATTGCAGGTATGCACTTGTAAACAATTGAAAGACAAGTGATAATATCCCAAATGTTTAACTGCGATTTACAAAGGCACAAAGACACGAATGACCAACGCACTCATATTGAATGACAAACGCACTCATGTTTGTATTTAAAGATCCACGCGCATCGTCATCGTATCAATCAGCACAGCTTTACTAACGCTGCAAGTATCATGACTTTGTATCGGCTCAGCTTGGTGTTTATCATTACTACAATTTGTCGCCGTTGCATAAAAGCGATCGACCGCTTGGTGTAGGCGACGCGTGCAATTTGTGGTTACTGCAAGGAATATGGCGCGCGCAATTACCATGAGATTACGAACAAATGTGGACGCTGAGCGACGAATAACACTTCTGACAATTTGTCGCATCGTCAAAGCGCAACGAGATGTCATAGACCTCGCGAACCTAGCTCTTACCAATTGGCCAATTTTACGCTGCGTTTCCTGCTACTACAACGTATAAGTACATATTACGTATCGTAGTAACGCACAGTACAGGAGGTCGGCCACCATACAGGCAGAACATCGCCGATACAGCAGTAATCGACTCGATGATTATGAAAGCGTGTTCCTTTTTAGAATTTGATGATGTTAAGTGTTGACCAAAAGAACTGCTCGATGCATTGATAAGGCTACACAACCCAAAATGCACTCGAACCTTTACGGAGGCCTTGTTAGAATTGGGTTTCAATAAAATGATATAAATCGACTAAAGGAGCGGATAAAGCATGCGGACCTGAAGCGTTTCTGGTGTCGACCTTTCATTAGTCGATCTACCTTTCGAGTGTCGTAAACATAGCGGCAGAATCTCAGCGGGAGTATGTAGATTTTTCGCTTACTATAAATAGATCGTCAAGTAGCACATAATCGTCTTGACATCACTGCTGACGTATTGGTTAATGTTTGCCCTGGCGATGCTTGAAATAGTACTTAAATAACTGCAGGCGTCCTTATTATCCTAAACTAAATTGAGCATGAAACAAATGTGCTCGTACGAATATGGATGCGGTCTTTATTTTTTCTGTCGTCGAGTTCAAGTCATGGTCGTTACAAAGCCTGCTCTTTCTTCAATCCTTTAGTTGAACTCGCAGGTTGCACTGTTTGTACTCACTTGCCACTATTGCGAAAGCGGCCCCCGATATGAAGTCGTGGTAGAGTTATTGGCACCGGATAACACGTCATCAGAGGTGTGTGTAGACACTTGTCGTATACCTACACCCTGCTTACGCGCGATATCGCTATAAACACAAGCGTGGTAGGCTAACTGATTGGTGTAACATTCAATAAAGTAAGGCTTCAGCGATGCACATCATGATTTATCGGCATGTCAGGCTAACATGTACGGCCTGTAAACCGAACTCGACCGCTTATGGACATCTTTTTTTTGCCATACTCAATGACCGGCTACTATGCCGCAGTGTTCTCTAAAAGTACCGCAAAAAGTGCTGATTCTACGTGCGAGTAATTTGCTCGCGAGGGTGTCCACAATAATTTAATACGTCAACAATAGATTAACTTATGGCGAAGCACAATAATTGTAAGTCCACTGATTATTATGCTCATGCGTCTATTCTTGAAATAAAATCATGTAAGCAATTGTAACCCTGCGAATCTTTTGACACCAAACCAGACACTCTCAAGTGCCTCCCCATGGAGCTCAATACGGGTCTCTACGCCTCATCGCACTCGACTGCTATGTGCTGGGCTGCATCTGAAGGCAACTTAAAAGCCATGCGTCAATTGCGCGAGGACCACGGCACAGATGTGAATGCCGTTGACTCAAACAAGCGGTACAATTTATGATCAATTAATTTATTTCGAATTCGATATATACAATTGGTCGATCCGGTCGTTCATGCTCCAAAATATTCGATCGTGACTGTCCTTGCCAGGACCCCCCTTCATATCGCCGTGAGCAACGAGAACCTGGAGATCACGAGCTATTTGTTGCAATGTGGTGCTAACACTGAAGTGCTGGATCGCTGGGGCCGCTCTCCTATCGACTGTGCAGTGGAGACAAAGAATGTGGCCATATTAAGGCTTCTGGGACGCGAACAGCAGGGACAAATTCCGGTCTTTCACACCAAATTTGGATCTATTGATGACCGAAGCGAGATCAGACGGTCCGGTTCGACCTTTCCAAAAAAATAGTATAATTTCTGGACTAAAGCGACTGATGAATTTATATTTATTGTGGTTTTGTGCTGACTTGTCTAGGATGCCGTCAAGCTCTGATGTTGAGCTTTTTTTCCAGGCGATTCAGGAAGGTCACACGGATCAGGTAAAACGCTGGTGGCTCAGCGGCATGGAAGTGAATGTAGCAGATGATCATGGACGTACGTCGCTGCATGTTGCAGTCGAGAGCCGACAGCTCGGAGTCATTGAGTTGCTGCTATCTGCTGGTGTGAACGCGAACGTGGCCGATGCCAGCGGACGATCGCCCATTACCATTGCGCGAGAACAACAGCAATTTGGTATCGTGGAGATTCTACGCGCACATCAAAAAAACAAACTCATGAGTCACCGACTGAAGAGCAGCAAGGAAGGGCAGAACGTTGCTTTGGCGTTTCGAGCTACCAAGCAGGGAGAGATGGAAATTTTGAAGCGACTGGTGCCAGAAATAGTACCACCGGATGTAGAAGATTACGACTTGAGGACATTGTTGCATGTAGCAAGTGCTGAAGGACATTTGCAGATTGCCCAGTACTTGGTCAAGTGTGGTGCGAATGTCAATTTGTTAGACCGATGGGGATCTTCGCCGTTGTCGGAAGCAGTTGATTTTGCCCACAATGAGCTGGCAAGGTTCCTCACTACGAACTGTGCTACAGCGTGTGGATTTAGAGCGACGGTGGCTGTCGACCACATCAACACAGCTACGCTAGATGAAGCGCTTGAATTTACACTTCGAGTCATCACTCGGGTCAGTTATTGAAGCGTTTGAAGCATCGTATTTGTCCGGCAGCTATTTGTGCTATTTCTAACCATTGAGTCTGGCGCAGGACCCGTGGCTAATTGGACAAGTACGTTGCCCGGTGATGGACGACGACAACAAGTGCCTTTTGCTTATGCACAGCATCTGGCAGAAAAGTAGATCCCTTACTCAACAACAGCACCAAACGAAGCTGCCCCTCTTGTCGTCCAAGGAGCTTAAGGACCGTCCTGTTGACACGGCTGCATTGTGGGCTGGTTGTATTCAAAAGTATCGGAAGGTGTCTTCTATGGTGATGATTGATCCCGGTCAAGGACACGTTGGTAACGTTTTTTGTAGCCAACATCCAGAGTGGCTTATTTTGCAAGAAGTGCAGCAGTCGCGCTTCTTTCTCCTCCCGCACGCTCGACAAGCAGGGTTTCAAACTGTTGTTTCTGTTCCTATGGTTTGCAAGATGTCGACTGTTGCAGTGTTATCTTGGTACTCTGACCGCACCATTTCCGAAGACCTCCACGAATTACAGCGAATTCAGCGGGTTGTTCGGTCTGTAATGATCCTATCTACGCTTCGGCAGGAGTCGCATAGCGATGACTCAGTTACGGTTCGCGTTGGGCGTATCCCTCAATTTCAGTTCTGTCAAATGCTGGATAATGCCATTACCGCGAACGGAGAGCTTACTGACTCGTCGACCTTGCGAGAAGATCGTACGTGCTGCGCACTTTTACCTCATTCTTGTTGCTTATTGACGCATTTTGCTTCTTATCGGATTGATAGTAGGCGTTTGTGACACCATGCCGCTTGCACTTGAATGGGGTCTGTTTGACATGGTGGACACGCTGGCAACCTCGATGAGCAGTGAAGATCACGCAGCGGTTATCTCAATCTTACGATCGCTAGTGGTGTTGCTTTGCAACGGACTGTTTAGTGATGTATTGTGTGTGCCTGGAAATGGCGGATCACACGAACAAAATGACGAGGTAACGCTCAAGCATTTAGTGGAGGAGTGCGACGGCAAGATTCGAACGAAGCAGGCTTTGCTGGGGCACGTAAAGTACTATTTGCAGTATTTATACGCCGTGAGTCCCACTGAGGCTGAGTTGTTCGGTGATGTTTGCGAGCTCCTCGACAAGGTAAAGGAGTTTTCGACAAAGACATCTTCTGTTGATGAATTATTCTACGGCACCTTGAATCCTATCGAGGAAGACACTTCGGAGACCGATGTTGGCCCGAACAGATCACCCTCTTCCGAGTCTGCACAAATCGATGTACCCGATTGTGTTCTGTGCAAGTTTGGCGTTTCAGGTAAGTCATATAATTGATGATAGTAGAATGCCACATGTTAAACGTGTCGCGGGTATGCCGTTTAGGACATATTCACCCGGGTCAAGGACAGGACACAGCACTACTTGATTTAGTGATGGAATCTTCAAATCAGAAGAAACCTATGGAGTTTCTTCGTGGTAAGTAGTGTTTTGTAATACTTAGCACTCTAAGACAGTATGCTTTACTTGTTCTTCGTGTGTTACTAGGCAACCCTTTTTTCGGTGACCCGAAAAATCCCAGATCTCCCGTGTATCGGCAAATCGAACAGGTCTGTTTTGACAATGCTGTGGTTTCTAGCTATCTTACTTGAGTTCTGACCTTACACGTGTAGCTGCACTTGAAACTTGAGGGCGAATACGATGCTTTTAAGCGAAGATCAGAGCTTGCGGAATGTTGTGATGGAACAAAGCCCGCCGTGTTCACATCCAGTGACTTGTACGACGCAATTGGCTTTGCACACGAACCTCTAGCAACCTTCAGGAACACATCAGCTGACAACTCCCGACAAAAGATGTTGGACGTCATTACTGAGATTCTGCACGATACGACGTGCGTCATCTCGCGCGAGCAGCTCTTTGCATTGCACCGGTACCTCCTTCCAGCTTCAACCGGACAGGCTGGCGTTCTTCGAACCGAAGCAGCTGTCGGATACGCTTCGCCTCGGATTTACCGAGTGTTTGTCCCAGCGGGCGAAATTGAAACCGCACTGGACAATTTTCTTGATGCGCTTAATGACGCTAGTCGTTGGGAGCGCCGCCCTTTGCTATGCGCCTACTACGCGTTTGCAGTGCTCGTGTTCTACATCCACCCTTTCCATGACGGCAACGGCCGCTGTGCTCGCTTGTTGGGCAACTTGGTGTGCAAAAAGCTTGGATTCCCGACGTTGCTACGTGCTGCAGACAAAACCATTCAAATGGCAGAATTTATGCAGAAAGCTATTGCTACGATGGAAATTCTTCGCAACACTCGCCGTCAAACCCGCCAGACACGTTTGCTTTCTACACGCAGAGAAAACACCTCAATGTGGTTTTAATCGATCAGAAGTTTACATGGCCTCGGACCGATGATTGCGAATTTCTTATACGTCTCAGGTTTGACATGAGCTCTATTGGAGCGAACTTTCCTGCATATTGAGCTTGGCTATTTTGTTTGTAAAGTGTTGGGGAGCAAGCTCTCGAGCTTGCCCTTTAGTACGAGTAATTTAGATCATTGAACTGAAGGATCAAATTTGCTTTTTTCGCGTTCCATTTCGGGCGGTTAGCGGTTCAGAAATGGATTGTGTTTTGTGTGCTACAGGTGCTCTATCTTACTCGTTTACGGACTGAAAACTGGTGTGAGCTACAAGAAAGAGGGAATTGTTATTTCCACCACATTTTACTGTTTCCACCACACTATTACTAGTTCCACCTAGCCAAAACTTTTGTTTGAATAATTGTAGACGAACCATACCACACTACCGAACCACCACATCACCCCCACTAGGGGTGGACCCCTGGTGTAGAGGGGTGGACCCCTGGTGTAGTGGCGCAGTAAGCTGACTTCCAAGTCGCTGATTGCGGGTTCGAACCCCCCCGGGGGCCGAAACCGGAATTAGTAACGGGTGAACAGCTGAATAACCATGCCTTCCACCAACAAACCATCTGGGAGATGCCGTAAAAAGTATAATGTGACGAATTCAACCACATCACCCCCACCCACGCGTTCAACGAAGAGCTCCAAATTGCGCACTCTCGAATTGCCAAAAAACGCCAGTGACAGGTTTACAAAGATCGACTGATTCAATTTCCTTTATTTATCATAGTCGTGCACGACTTGCCGTTCGATCTGTTGAGCAACACAGCAGCCTATTTGCTGCCTCGCAGCGCCTTTATTTCTTTCTGTCAATGTAATGTGCGTGGTAATACGTCCAGAAAGTAGATTAATGTGTTCGACCACGTGGATTTACTGACTTGCACAAAATCAAATTTTCAAATTGGTATAAACCTTTTTCTAAAAATCCTGAGTTAATAATATCCAAATTAATTTATTAATTTATATAAATTTTAATTATGTTTTAAAATGTACTTTTAATATTTAACATTTGTTTCAAATCAGATTAATTGTAATTTATTTACTTGTAGTTGGTATTTTTTTTATTTTAGGGTTTCAATATGATAATGCTTGTTGTCATCACAAGTGTTTCAACAACAGTTCAGTTTTATCCGTCCTAATATTTGGCAACTGATCCACATTTATCAAGATTTATGTCTTCTTCATCTTTATTTACTTTTTATGTTGATTTTGAAATTTACATATTTGATTCGATTACAACTAATTAATATTCATGACCTTTTTTTTAAATTTGAATTAATGCTCAGTAAATTATTTACATCATGTTGAATTTAATAATTAATTTTTTTTTTCACTCAAAGTAAATAATTACTTTTTAGAGATCATGTTTCGGGATGCATCGAAATTTTATTGATGAAAAATTCCTTTTTTTTTAATTTAATCAAATAGATTTGATTACTAGTAAACTACCGTCAGCCCAGCATTCAATGGGATACTTAACACTGCCGTTTGTGGCACTGCCGTTTGTATGCACTGATTACGCGTCTCTCTTGCAGTGTACGCGTCTTCCTGGCACTCATAAAAGTCAGTATTTATCTCTGCCTTAAGTTTCTCAATCACCACCCACTGCAGAAACACCCCTCCCCTTTACATTTTCTTGTCTCACTCTTCATCCTTATACTCGTTGTCGCTCGGTTCTCGTGTGGTGGGTGCTGGCGAGTACGCAATGGTCTCAGCATTGATTTTTTAAACGGATGACACAGCGATGGGTGGTGTTCTCTTGAGCAAATTAATATCGGCAATAATATAGAAAGGTGTGATCTATCGACTCCAAACTCGAGGGTGGATACCGAAAGCGTAAGATCAAGCAAGGGACAGATTAGCATGCGTTGAAAAGTAAACACATTAGCTGCTTTATTCGACTTATTCCACATTTTATATCAATGTTACAGCCAAAATGTCTCCTACTATCCGTAAACAAGAGCGTGTGGTGGAGCGGTAGTGTGTTACGGTGCGCTGGAATCTATTCAATCAAAAGTTAAGGTGTGGTGGAAATAGCAATTCCCGACAAAAAATATGACCGGCTAAAAGTCAAATCTTGTTCAGTCTGGTTGCATTTCGATCCATCATCACAGACAAGCTATTTTGAGGTATTGGTAATGAGCGTTCGCCAGTGGGATCGAGGATAATCAATTTCAGCTGCCGCATGTTGATATTAATAATTTATCTTGTGGATCGCCCCCTTACCATTAACGATCGCTTCTGTGCTTGTTTCTAAAGAATTATCTTCCATGAAATGAATAAGCACGGATAAAATTGATGGTACAAATAAAATTATTTCCAATTGGCTAATGTCATTTAATTGTCAACCATTTCTTGACATATTCCGCCAATTATACTGATAAACGTCACTTCTATAAACATCAATTCTTCAGATTCCAGTTTTAAACTGTTGATTGGATCGTCACATCGCTTTCTGGACGATTGAAACTTATTTTGCGAGTATTAAATCAACACCATTTGACTTCATAGCTTCAAAACACTAAAACCTTTGAAAAACGATCAGGCAAATCCCGGCTTATTTCTCCGGTATTACAGTTAATGGGCTCCAAAAATTACATAAAACGCTTGGGAATAAGCTCTTTACGCTGGTGTTATTCTTCGTCTGAAAATACATGCTGCGTAAAAAAATCTAGCCAAAGCATGATAAATTATAAACTTATGGGACCGAGTTGTCAATATTGGTAGACAGTTGTGTGTAAAGGTATTTTGTGGTGTTGTTGATGTTTTAATGACACGAACGTTAAAACGGGGAGAAAACGGAAGATTCTGCCCGGAGATGCCACCAACCACATGATACGGCCGACACGAATTTTTTTACATTATAGAAAAATAATTGGATGGAGCTTCCACTGCAACTAAGAGAGGAACGTGACCATCACCTCTTGTTGTTCGAGTACATCGAGTAGTTCAAATTAAAACCACTCTACTTTAAATTTGCAAAAGGTCGAATTTTCGCTGCCTCTAAGTGTCGAGCATATGCTTTTTAGCCCATTGTTCATCCTTCGTCAATTTCTAAGTCATTCATGTGCGTGCATTGGTTCGTGTATGACTTCCACTCTCTGTATGATGACGAAATTGGTGACTTAGGTGTGACATCTATACTGCTTATTTACCTAATGAGATGGGACATGCTACATCGCACATAGTACGATGTGTAAGGTACACCTTGCCTTATTTACAGACAACTCACACAGACACACACTCATACAGATAAGCACGATTAAAAAATGCTCGGCTTTCATTTTGCTCACGGTCACTAAGAGCCTTCTTACAAAGGTGTTGGAGCGGCGTTTCAACTAATACTTTCATTACTGCTCCAACGACGTGTTCAACATCATGTTTATCCGACGGCGCCATTTATAACGCACCGATGAAAAAAACTAATAAGTTAGACATCTGGTATCCTTTTTTTTGGTGAAACGGATTTATTAACTTTAAACCATCACAAAAAAAAACAGCTCAGATTTGTGGCGGTCAAAAGCAAAGTATCACCGAAACCTGTGAAGTAAAGAAGTTTGGAAACGCGTCATAGCTGTGGGTAACATAAAAACCGCAATAGTCTTGCATTTCGAGTTCCGCTTTAGATCAGATATTATTTCTCCACAAAACCAGAATAAACAGGCTTCGACTGACGCGAAATTCCTCCGTAAATCACTTTCCGTGTGCATCGGGACGTCTTGTTTCAAGAAATGTGTTTAGCGAGTGCGCGCCACGCGTATAGAGATGGTAAAATAGCAGGAGGGGTAGACTGCCACTCATGATGGTTGCCATTATCGGGTGTTTGAAGCTGCCTGGTATTTATCACTCAATAATTAGATAAGCTTACAAAAGTACATGAGAGAGGTACGTAGACTCAAATAAAGGTTCAGTCAGAGGTTCAACAAATGTTTCAATTACATCTGTAGACAGACTCTTATAGCTTCACCCTTCAGGCTCGCAATAAACAGGTTATTGCAAAGTTTAGCCGCAGAAGTACCATCTAATCATCAGAATTGTAAGGGGACCAATGTATCTTACATACACTTGCACTAAAACAAAAGTAGTTTTCGTACAAAGCTGCGTATGTTTGCTGTGTGAATAAGTGTATCTGCTCCTCCTCAGTCTTGTCGAAAGGTTTGCATATGTTGTGGCTTGGCAAGAAGCGCGATAGTATGTCATAATTTTGACGTCGTTATAAAACGGGTCAATGCCAAGTATGTGCTTTACAAACTCAAGGGAAAAGCTCACAATAATGCTGTTTTTTTTACAATGAAAACGAACGATGAGCTGGATGAAAGTTTGCACATGACGAAATTTCTAATAATAAATAAGCATAACTAAGGTCGTAGGTCGTAATATCTCTATCCTCAAGTCCAAGAGGGGCACGACGGCGACCTCGGGAAGAAGAGACGGAAATACGCTCCGTGGTCGTGTCTCATTCGCAGAATGCCATCCTCCTTCAAAGAGAGCAAAAAACTTATCGAGACGCTTCCTCTAGAGGTACTATTCTTTGTACTGTCGTCAAAACAGTGGCTCGATCTCCGGCAAAACCTTTGCGGGCAGCCCAATGCTTTCCTTGAGAGAAATTGCTTCCACATGGTTTGAAACGACTCTTTAATCATACATCCGTTTGTACGAATTCATCAAACTTACCATTTGAACGCCCAGAGCTTGCTTAGCTAGGACAACTTCTTCAGAAATTTCTGCTTTACCGACTCTAGGTGGTTTGATGTCAGCTGGGTATTGAAGATCCTTCACCTCGCAAAAGTCCACCCGAAACCTCATTTTCAGCCATTCGCTCAATTCTCCCACCAAGACTATAACTTAAACATATGTTGCTCAAGGGTGAGAAATCTCGCTTTGTTGTAGGAAGGCGACAGAGAGTTACCGCCTTTCAACAGCCTTGACCGTCTCCAGATAGTACTTACTGTCGATAGTGCT